CTGTTATGGTCAGCTCTGTCCTTGATGATGAGGGAAATTGGGACACTAATGCTTTATCCAATCTTGTTAGTCAACAAGACCTCAATGAGATTCAAATAGGTCAAGATTTGTTATTTTCCCTGATGCTCCTACCTGGGTTCCCTCACAAACTGGTAACTTCACTTCAGCCTCGGCCTTTAGTTTCATTACTGATTTTGATCTGACAAACAGAGACTGGAAGTGGATCTGGAAAATTAAGATCCCTCAGAAACTTAGATGTTTCCTTTGGCTAATCTTAAAGGGCAGGTTGCCGACTAACCAGCTTCGTCTTGTTAGACATCTTGCCCCAACTGATATCTGCCCCAGGTGTGGCCAACATAGTGAAGACATGAAGCATTTGCTTAGAGAATGTCCGACCTCTAAAGATATTTGGACTCGCATTCAAAATCTTACCTGGTGGGAAGAAGGGAATCAATAGCCTCTGAATGATTGGGTTATTTTGAACATAAAGAACAAAAATATTCTTCATGGAAAAAAATGGTATCTTATCTTCATTGTTGTACTTTGGCAAATCTGGAAAGATCATAATAAACTGGTTTTTGATAACCTTTCCAACCCTATTTAGGTCAATCTCAAGAACATTTTTACTTATGTTCATGAAATTGATAAGGTTTTTCATTCCCCTCTTTGCCCCCATTCTGCAGAACCCAAATTAATTCATTGGTGTTGCCCACTTGCAGGTAAGCTCAAAATGAATACTGATGGCTGCTCAAAGGGAGACCCAGGCCAAGCAGGTTATGGAGGAGTGCTGCGTGATGAAACAGGCACTTGGATTTGGGGTCATTACGGAAAGTTAGGCCATTGTACGAGCTTAGAAGCAGAAAGATGGGCCATATATAGAGGGTTCACCATTCTCTTCCATAAAAATACAAGAGATGTGCGACTAGAATCAGACTCTGAGTAGGCCATTAATCAAATCCTTCATGGCCCAAACCACAACTCACCATTTAAGGCTCTCATTAAAGATACTAAGTTCCTGCTGCAGAAGACTAACAGCTCTCTTGGCCACACCCTACGTGAGGGTAACAGAGTTGCTGATCGTTTAGCCAATATGGGAGTGTCTCAAAATGAGCATGTTGTAATCCTTGATAACCCTCCAGATAAAGTTGCTGCCCTGCTTATACATGACATAACTGGAGTTAGTTTAGTGAGGGACTAGCCCTCTGCCTTGTTGTTGTTATATCTTTTGATCTCTTGTTTCTGTTGTTTCTCTTATTTCATATGAATCTAAAAAAAAAAAAGTGTTTAGAGTGAGAGTTGACATTTTTATTTGAGAAAAAAAAATAGATTTTATTAAACCTTACATATCTATTGTCTTAGAATTTTGATCCGTTACCATTGGAGATTTATGGAGCAATATCAAATGATTTAAGTGTTGGTGATGGATGAATTGTTTTGAGATAATTTGGATGGTATAAAATATACTTCCTCTAAATCTCTTTGTAAATAATTTTATTTTAATTATTTCTCATTTGTATTCCTCTTGATTAGTCTGGACATTTGATAAATTTTGTGAAATTATTCTGTGTTAAAAGTGTTGATTTGTCTGACTGAATGACATGAAAATGCTCCATATATGAATCGAGTGGACCTACCAATAAGCTTGTACTAATACGCCTAGATAAGCGATTGTGCTTGGGTAAGGTGGGTGAGGCCAATCATGTACTGAATAGGATCGGATGTTTGGTCCTGAATAAATTATCATATGTGAGTTTATTTGTTTGTGTAATTTGGTAAATTCTTTGGTAATATTGAATCGTTTGTACAATGTTGTAGAATCCGTTTTTATTTATTCTCTATCTAAACATTATTATTCCTATCGTATTATATACTTTCCGAATTAATTTATTTTTCATGTGGAGAGCAATTTAGTGGGGATTGAAATATCAAAGGATTTATTTGAGTTAGAAATTTTGGGACCCACCAACATATATTAATTTTAGAGACAATTGTATAAATTATATATTGGAAACATTTGTGTAATTATTTTTGGAGATGATTGATACATCTGAGGTTATTAAAAAAAAAAAAAAAAAAAAATCATGCATGGGGAGCTTGGGGATTCATCTTTCTTTTATCTTCACGAGCATAGGCTGAGGCAGAGAGATAATAGGCAACCATGAAGATTCCATGAATGAAGCACACAATTCCTCCTATTGACAGAAGACGATGATGTGCCAGCGCACATGTTTTTCTCGACCTCAAATTTGCGAGTGTCCCTATGATCAACATTGTGGATGCCATTGCTAATATAATCCTAATTGTCCATCACCAAAAGGTAATAATGTCATTTTCTAATCATCCAATAATTTGGTTATATTTCACTATTTTATTAGGGGTCGCTATTCCAACTCTACTTTACTCTAAATACACTTCATTATTTGTCTTTATTAAAGACAATTACATTAATTCTCTTTTACACAAAATATATTCTTAAAAAAATCAAAATTCTAATAGTATTAATATAACTATGTATAATAATGACAAATAAGAGAGTGTATTTAGAGTAAAGTGGAGTGGGAATAGCAATTCCCGTTTATTAAAAGGGATAGGATTGTCTTTAGTCCACGTCTATTGGCCCTATGAGACCTGAGTCCAATTTCTACAATTGGAATCGTTTATTTTGTCAAGTTTTATGCATAGATCATTTATAGGGGAAAAAAATTATTAATCTTATAATCACTACTATATAGTGATTATATATATATATTTTTTAAAAAATGAAAATAGAATGGTACTTTTGTAATTATTTAAATTTGAATTCAAAATGTAATGATTGCGTTTTCTTAAAAAGTTTGAATTTTCAAAGAGGGATTATGAATATTGGACGGAGACAGTAAAATTTGGATTTCATCCATAATTTTGATGACTAAAAATAACATTAATCCATTTACATTTCAGGTAGCTCTAATATATTAAAACACTAATAAATGTCTCTTACATTTAAGGTAGCCCCTCTTACAAAGTTATCAAAATTAAAAACAAAATCAAAATTTTATCATTAGAAGAGTCCAAATTTGAAGAAAAAAATTTCATCATATACACAAACACATGTGTACATATACGATAAGATATGTAAGTTATATATACATACACAAAAAAATAATAACAACAAATATTAGGGTTAACAAAAAAAAAAAAAAAATAGTTTCACGTGATTTTCTTTAAATCCCAAAAATTCTGCATTACCTTACATAAAACAGAGATAGACGGAGGGGGTACATTTAAATACGAATGAAACTCCAAGATTTAATGTGTCAAAATTGAAATGCTTATACTAAGTTTTAAAGTAAAAAACGCATGCAACATTAAGGTTTTTTTTTTGTAATTAACCAAAAAAAAAATCATATACAAATATTTTTTCTAAAAAAAAATCAAAAAAAAATGTATATAATCAATACTCTTTCATGAAATCACTTCTTTCAAATAAATTTTATTTTTTAAGAGAATTAAATAAATCTCACAGGCTCAATTTTAAAAATTATGAGAAAGATCAAAGAGAATGACATATAATTTTGTCCTTGAGATCCGGTCTGGCCGAAACTTGTTGGGCTTTTACCCAACCAAGGCCCAAATATCTGAATATAATTTTTTGTCATTGAGATCGGGTCTAGCCCAAACTCGTTGCGTGTTTACCCAAACAAGGCCCAAAGTTATGAACAGGCCAGTCCAAGCGATATTGGGTTGGAATTGGGCTTTGAATTTAAAACTCAATCCGGCCCAAACTCGTTGCCCTTTTACCTAAACTAAGCCCAAATCCTGAACATGTTGACTGAAGTGAGATTGGGCCTAGAATAGGGTCTTGAAATTAAAACCCAACCCAGCCCAAAGCTCATTGGCTTTTACCTAACAAAGTCCAAAGCCTGGACTGGCTAGCCCAAGTGAGATTGGGCCTTGAATCTGAAACCCAACCTGGCCCAAGCTCATTGAGATTTTACTCAAACAAAGGCCGAATCCTGAACAGGCCAGTCCAAGTTAGACAGAGCCTAGAATTAAGCCTTCAACTTGAAACCCAACCTAGCCCAGGCTCATTGGGCTTTTACCCAAATAGAGCCCAAATCCTGGATATGCCAACACAAGTGAGATTGGGCCTTGAATTTGAAATCCACCTCAACCCAGCCCATAAAAAATTATTTAAAAAAAAGGGTGAAGAAAATTATTAAAAAAACACTCAAATCTTGTGCTAAGCCTAGAGGCCAGGTCACAAGTCCATAAAGTCAGTCTATTGGCCCACTCATCAGTCCACTATAAGTGATTCTATTTGCACATAAAAAAAATCATTTAGTAGGTCCAATTTTTCAGTATATTCTATAAAATTATTTAAGTTTATAAATTTACTCTCAATATACTCTATATTTTTTTTATAAATTATCTTTAAGATAAAATCATAATTTATAAACACTTAAATAATAAACAACTCAATTCAACCTAAAATTTGTTTCACTGTTTTTTCGATCTTCATAGTGGTTAGATATAAAACTGATGCAGTTTTCTTATGGACGATGATTCCGTTTATTATCCCAAGTTTGTTTCAGTTTTTTTTTTTTTTTTTCTTGAGCCGGAGTCACTTCAACAGCTCGGGTCGGAGTGACTTTTATCTCTTTTGGGCCGCAGTAACATTTCGGCCTTTTATCCAGTCCTTGGCATTTTGGGCCACCAAATCCATCTCACAGCTCGGCCCAATTTTTACCAAAAATTACCCTCTCATATTTTATTTTATAATTTAATGTATACTGTCTTTAATAGTAAATTTATATTAAGGTATCATAATAAGAAAATTTTAATTAGGCGAATTAAGATAGTATTTGGGTGCAAATATAATCACCCAAATAAGACAAAATAAAAGAAAAAGTGAACCTGGCCCAAAGAGTTTGATGGGGCTTAAAAGCCCATTTCAATAATGAAACAGACAAATAAGAAAAGCGGAATTAGGGTTTCAATTCAAGTATCTCCTGGAGATTGAAGTGAAAACCAGAGTACCAGAGAGAGAAAGAAACGAGGAGTTGTTGTTGATTCAGTAGAGAGAGAGATAGAGAGAGAGAGAGAGAGAGAGAAAAATCGAAGAAGAACGACCTAGCTCGCAGAAAAAGACAGCACGAATTCGAACTCCAAAGCACTCTCTCTCTATCTCTCTCTCTCTCTATATATGTATGTATATATGTGTGTGTTTATATGATTTGAATTGGGATTTTGGTAAATTGGCCCCCTAAATGTTTTTGTTGTGGGTATGTGATTGAGTTTGTTCTGATTTGTATTTGAAAAAATCAGGAGAGAAATTAGAGAAAGAAAACAAGGCAAAGAAGCTGCAGGCCAAGAAGAATAAGATGAAAGTAACTCCCTTTCTTCTTCCTCCAAGCCCACTCTCTGTATAGTGTTGGAATGTGTCGGAGAGCTTTGTGTTTGGGCAATTATGTGTTTAGGTGGATGGTAGTGACACGAAGAAAAAGAAGAAGGGTGCAAGTGGATTCCAAGTTGGGAAGAGAAAGGTGAAGACCAAGTTGACAGCATTGGCAAAAGCAAAGGCTGCCCAAGCGATGGAGCTTGACAAATGAGGTTCTACTTTGAGTCACTGAGGCATTATCGAACTTTAGGATATGTAACTTTGAAGGAAAAGGTTCATCTTTACCTCTGTACTCTTTGACAATTTCTTCTCTAGTTACTGGTTCCTATGAAAATTAATATTCTCCATTATACTGTTTTTCATTAATAATGTGAATATGTGATTGTTTTTATAATTTTGCTTACTGTTTATGCAGTCAATTTTGTGGCTGGACAGTGTGTGTCTTTTCCCTTAACAACGAAGTTGAAAATTGTGAGTGTTGAGTGTGAAGAAGCCTTGTTTTTCTCTAGTGATACATGCTACAAAAAATGGGTGCTGGTGATTTAAATCCCATCTCTGACCAAAAAATAAAAAAAATAAAGACAAGACTGGGTAGCAGAACTGTGAGTGACATCTTTATTTGTTTTTGATAAGTGAGAGTGGCATCTTGTGTGTTACATGGACTCTTCTATTTCTCCCGAAGTAATCGTGTCCACTGGACATAACAAGGGCAATGGTAGGATATGTGTTTGACACCCGTATCTAATTTAGACACTTCGATTCTCTAATTTTTTACAATGTTTAAAGAAGAAGAAACTCAAATTTGTAAGTTAAGAAACACTAATAGCTTGATGAGAGAGAGAAGTTTTATATTTCCCTAAATCCTATTTAAATTCAAATACATTTTTACATAATTTACATCTCATTGAAGAATGTTATATAATGTGCAATTATATTATTGTCCTTGACATTTTTCCTTATCCATGTCCAACTTATGGATTTAGAAATATCTCAAGATTTAGATTTATGAAAGCTTGACGCTTGGATGCGCACCTTCACCTAATATTCTTGCCCGAAGTCATGTAACATAAGCATCTTGTAAACACTTTAGGGTCCAAATTGCAAGATGATGTGTGAGCAAAAAATTTTGTTTAGTATCCCAAAAAATATGGCAACAATGGTTCAGTTTAGTCATTATCAATTATTGTCTGGCTTGAATGTGGCATTTTGACTGTGTATTTATTTTTTATTTTTTTTGAATCTCTTGCAAAATGAGAAAATAGGATTTGATTTTTTGGTGTATTTAAGATTTCGCCATGTATCATTTTTGTAGTATTTCTAATATCATTTTTGTAGTATTTCTAAGATATTAATGTTAATGTAGAACTTGTGAAAATTGATGCTTCTGATTGACCAACGATGCCTTGGGACTTCATTAGTCACAATAGATCGGTCATGTTTTTTAGATCTTTGCATGCAAATTACATAATAGGTAGGGTTAAAGGAAGAGGTAAATAATAAATGTATTGGAGGAAGCTTGCATTCTCTGAAGCACTGACACTTGAAAACAAGTGTTGTAGCGGTGTCGGACACGGAGACACATACGGGACACCCCACGTGTGCGTGTCCTTTTATTTAATTAATTTGTTTTTAGGGGACGCACCAACCAGTGTTATTAAAGGCGATAGGCGCACAGAGGCGCCAAGGTCTCTTGGGGCCTAGGCGCAAGGCGAGGCGCAAGCTTTACCGAAGTGAGGTGCACCTCGTACGTAAAAAATTATGTAATTTAATATAAGAAAATAATTTAAGAAGAAGAAACGTAGAGAAGAGAAGTGGACAAAACAACAATGTAGGGAAGAAGAGAAGAGAAACGAATGAGAGAGAAATGTAAGAAGAGAAGAATAATAAGAAGAAGATGATAGCAACGTGAAGAAGAATTTTTGGAGCTGCTGGATTGGATAACGAAAGCAGGCAGCAGCAAAGTGTTCTTCGGAGATTAGGAATTAGGACTAATTTTTCTTCTATCGTTGATTTGTGGTTGAATGTCCAATGTATTGGCATGTGTATTTAAGAATAGGGATCTTTTATAGTTGCATCATGTTAAATCAATGGTTAGATTTTAAACAAAACCAATCAAAGCAACAATAAATTTAAAAAAAAAAAGCCCTTAAGGCGCAGGCCTTGGGCTTTTCTGCGCCTTGGCCTAGTTGCACGCCTTAGGCACAACTTATCAAAGTCGCCTGGCCTAGAACACTGCAAGGCGCAAACCTTGGGCCTAGATGAGACTTGGGCCTAGGCACACGCCTAGGCGCGCCTTAATGACACTGGCACCAACTATTTTTTCCCCTCTTTTCTTTATTGTTTTTGATGGATGTTGGATGTTGAATATTTATTACCTTTTGCTTAGATTTAAATACTTAATAGATCATCCATAATAAAGATCTACACATTAAGTGTTAATTTAAATTTAAAGTGATATATATTTTAAAATATCAAATTAGTTTCAGTTTTTTTGTTATTTTTGATTGTTTATGGATTTAATTCTAATCTACATAACAATAAAAATGTATGAAAAAATATTTTATTGTCGTGTCCCCTCATGTGTCTGTGGTCCCATTTTTTTCAAATCACCATGTCCGTGCTTGCTAGGTTGCATTAATTAATCTCAATTGATGTTACAACTACCTGTTAGAGCTGGGTGGAACAAAGGAAGAATATTGATCTCCACAGTTTTCAAAAGAAACCTGAATGAAAAACAAGAGTGATATGCAACATGTTGACACCTTCAATGCTTGAAATTTGGTTTTGTTAAAGATGACGTTTTCGTTTATGCATTTTTGTTAATTTGTGTGAATAAGGAAATGTTCCATCATTTTTATGAATCCTCACATAGTTGTGTCTTCACCAATTTTGTCTATGATGTGTAATGTAAGATAAATGGTCACATATTATTTGAGGATGAGTAGTGCTACCAATTGCATTTCAGGATCTTAATCCTTTTTATTTTTTTTTATTTTTAAATGAAGGCAGATTTCTTGTTGGTGTTAACTTGGCATGGATGTGGGTTTGTTTGAAATGAATCCCATTCCCATTTTGCTAATTTCCTGTGTTTGGTGCCTATTTTTGGTAATCAGAATCCAAGATTGAGATACAATCATATGGCTGGAATCTCTTTACCATGGAAAGGGGGGAGCGTTGTCGTTCTCATTCTATGTAAGGATTTATTTATTTATTCTGTAAATCTAATTTATGATGGTTATATTATTAGTAAACTAAATATGAAAATGATCTTGAAGTTTCATTTTCGATATACATTAATGGTATATCCAAATAGTAAATTGGGAATATTTGGTTCCCCAACATTCCTAGGCATCTCATACAAAGGTATGAAATGTTGATTCCTGATATTACTAATGCAATTTGGACCTTTATTCATTTATTTTTCCTTCGAATATTATTGTTGTTTTGATTTTAGATTTTGCTTTGATCAAGCTTAGATAAATTAGTTTTGCTACTCATGCAATTTGGACTCGAACAAAGTAATAATGAAATGTTTTTACTGTGTTTTGAAGTTGCCAATCTATACTTGTTTGCCAAAAAACACTGGAAAAGAGATAGCTCTCTTACCATCAAAGCTGATGCTAAAAGAAAATAAGAAAAGGCACCAGATGAGTGAATGCTTCCTAGAAACTAATTATAGACCAGAAGCAACTGGGAAAAGACACCAAATGGTCAAAGTGCAAATTGGAAAGCATATAATGAGAGCATAAAGCTGTGTTCAGATCTTAATTTGTGGAGGAAAAGAGTATAGTTGTGTTTTGATTTTTTTCGTTTTGATTTTTTGTGTTTTTAAAAATAAATCAATGAAAAGTTTGAAAACACCGATCGTTTTCATTTTTGTGCAAAAAATGCTTTCGAACATACATAACAAACTTTTTAGTATTTCCTAAAAAAATTCAGAAGCTATTTTCGAAAAGAGTTCATCAGACAAGTTTTCTATGTTTTTCGGGGAAAAAAAAAAAAGAGAGAAGAAACCCTAAATCCAATATCCAAAACCACCCTACTTCATTCATCTTTTCCTTTTCTTTTTCATTTCCTTTCCACAAATCCAAGATCCAAACATAGCAAATCTCATCATTGGGGGAAAGTTTCGGTACACAAATCCAATCAACTCTCAAAATAAGTTTCAAGGTCTACGCTAAAGTATCCTCTATATAACTAACATTCAGAAATGGCACTGCAAATCTACATTTTGACCATCTCAAAACCAAGAAGATGGAGAAAAAAAAAAAGCCAGTAAATTTCACACTTTATTGACAATTTCTGGGAAATCAAATAAAGCATTACATCGAAATTGTAAATACACGAACACGAAGTACCAAATAAATCATTATAACTTCCAAAACAAATGAATGTAACTATCGCAAGGACGTGAAAATCGGTCACAGTTTCTGTACACAAACTACAACTGTGAACAAGAAATGAAGGACAATAATTTCTTTATGATTGTTGAATAGAATAAAGCTCCGGTCAGAGCAGAAACCTTTCAATATGTGCCAAATAATGATCTTCGCAAAGGAAGTGAGACAAAGCAAGCAAAGCAGAAGATTTACATATCTGTACATCATTTCGTTACTGTCAAACACTTTTGCTCCTTCTGGCTTCAAGAGCTGAACCATCCTTAAGGGCTATTTGTGCTTCATTTTCCATTTTAAGGGCAAGAAGTGCAGAGGCTTGTAGATAAGACGGTACGTGCCAGGCTGGAGATATGATTTGGGCTTACATTGCATCCCTTAAAGCTTCCTGTGGCGAGTCGCTCATGAGATAAGACAAACTACGGCGAGCAAAAACTGTTGGTGACCCTACTATTCCTGCTTCAATAAACTGCAAGTAGGAAAATAAAACCGTTATTAGGATTCCAGCATTCACTCAGATTTTCAAGAATGTAACCATTAGATTATCACAGTTTTCCATAAACTGCCGCTATCTCTGAATTACCTGAGACATGGATTGTTTCGGTTCATGGAACATGATCACGAATGTGGTATGTCACATTTTCTAAAACGTACGAATGTGGTATGTCACATTTCCCATAAACTACAATGTTGAAAGATGGCAGTGAGCAAAAGCACAATGCATAGGCTGTAATTTTATCTGGGTCAAAAAGAACGATAAAATTGTCTCTGGTATGACAAAGCATAACATGCTCTCAAGTGGTTGACATCCTCCATGGCAACAAAAGAAAAAGAAAAAGGTGGGAGGGCTTTAGATATCAGCCAATTAGTATCAGGATTTTAGAGTTCAGATACCGATATTCACTTATATATCAGTCGATATTGACCAATATATCAGCTTACAAAGCAATTATATTGCACTATGTATAAGCCCTAAACATTCTAATGAGACAATTATGTGAGATTAAGATGTTGACTTCAGAATACATGACGAGAAAAATCTAATCTTTAACATTTTTTAAACATATACAATACCTCGTTGGTGACACCTTCGTCAGCTTTATACCCAATATTCTCGAAGATCTCATGTATGGCAGTCAAGTCCATTCTTAAGCATGCTTCACCAAGTGGGGATTTAGGTGAGAAGGAAGCACTGGGTGAGATGCCCATTAAGACATGAGGAGGAACCTGTACAGCAAGAAACCAAAGATTCATAACAAACCTAAATCCGCTTAACAAGATGAAATTGGCACATTCAAAATTTCAAATAACTAATTCTGACTATAAGAAGATAAAAATGTAAAAGTATCATACCCAAGAAAATAAATAAATAATTAGGAAACAGTCCAGACTTTCCAATTTCTGAGTTGCTTTGGGATGATAAGCCTTCATTCTTAAGAAAATTAAGCAAAAAATAAAAATGCAATTGACCTTGGTATTTTCCTGAAGAGTAGTCAAAATAGCCACTAATGACTTTGGATTTGGCCTTTCTTGGGGTTCATATTGCAAGCATCGAGAAGCCAAGCGTACTAACTCAGTCCTGGCATCATCGGAAAATTTTCCTTCCAAGAAAGAATCTGTCAGCATCTCAAGGTTCCTGTCCCGTATCAAATCAAGGGCCTGGTAGAATTACCACAGCATTAGGCACGTAATGTCAAATGCATATCCTAGAAAGATCATTAATCTAAGAAATGGAAAATATCTGCATAAAGATATTGGATCCTTGTAGGTTTGCCAATTTTGGATCCCTATATACATATTCAGAGAGAGAGAGAGCAAGCCAGCTTATTGTAATCTCAATCTTCATAGTGAATTCCATTCTTCACCAGTGGCCGTAGGCTTATAGCCAAACCATGTAAAGCCTTGTGTGCTTGGGTGTTTGTTCTGTTTTAACTTTTTACTAATCTTTGCCTTTGCATGACAATTTGCAACCATTTTATTTATTTCTCTATTATGAATTTAAAGACTTCCATTTGTTTTTCAGAATGATTGTTTTAAGATAAGGGTACTTCGAGAATTTCTGTTTTCCCAATGTCCATTCTATTGGAGTCATATGGGTCTTTAAGCCCTCACCAGCATTTCCATTTTACACTAGCTTCACGGTTTCAATACTTTCCAAAACCAACAGAAAGGACTCAGATTATTTCCAATTCCTGACCACTTTATCGAGGTAGACGTTTACATTAAAGTACACACTAATTGTGGTAATTTTTTTTTTAAAAAAATACATGCGTAACTATGTATTAACATAGATATACAAATAAATGTGTCTGTAACTACGTATACGAAACCTAGAACAGAATAAAAAGATAAATATAAGCTTTGGGGGGTGCTCTAGACTCGAACAACAGTATTGTCAAAAAATAATTTGCATAAAGCATAAAACATCAAATTTGGTTGTAAGATACAGATACTTACATAGCTAGGGGGAATATGTTTCCCACTAAGAACATCAAGCAAAAGAGTGCCAAAGCTATATATTACACCTTCTAGTGTCACTGTACCTATACAAAGAAGACCAGCATATGAAGCAAGAATAGTTACCTAAACATCATTTGGGCTATTTAAAACATCCAAGTAACAAAGGAGTGTGAAACATCAAATTTGTCATCAATAACATCAAGAGAATCTTGAACCAGAAATAATTAACCTCATACACCAAAAGAAGTATCTTATCTTGTTTGGTTGAGTTTTCAGAATCTGCTTTCAATTTAGTTTGATGAAAATAAGCACCCAAAAAAAAATTTCAAAAAATAAAATTTTTTTTGCCCAAAATATGAAAATGATTAGTGTTTTTTATTTTTTTCATTAAACTCAAAAAACATATTTTGAAAACTCAACCAAAAGCTTGTTTGATTTTGTGATCATTTTTTTGGGTTTCTTCGCTCGAGCGAGGACTCTTGAAAATGATGGGTTGAACTTTTTATTGTTTTTGTTTCCAAAAACATGAAAAATGAAAACAAAGAAAACAGAAAATATAACAAAAACAGGATAAATATGCATTTGTGCTTAACTCTGAAAGCTAATTTCTTTTACCATTGTAGAAGAAAAGTAGAAGACAAATAACGTTACACTTGGTTAACAGGCATGTTCCCCACAAAACAGAAGGAAGAACCAAAAACACGAGGTGAGATCAGAATGAAGTTCAATGAAAGAGACTTCTAATAGATCCTACATGATTTAAAAAAAAATTGGGGGCATAAAAATTGTCCTTTATCAAGAGAATACATACCGGTTTTCAGAAACTCTGGAGGAGTAAATGCCAAATTTGTACTGTAAATATTTCCATTCCCACTACTTTTCATCAGGCCAAAGCACGAAAGTCTAGGATTACAGTCCTGCAAAATTCTAAAAAGATAAATAGAGGAACCCATATAAAATTCAACTGAATAGAGGTGTCCAAATTAAGGAAATATTTAATATATACGGTATACCTCATCGAATAAAACTCTGTAAGGATTTAGGTCATGATAAACGGAATAGCCTTTGCTTGTACAATATTCTAGAACTTGTGCAACATGTAAAACCACCCTCAATCGCATTGCCCAGTTCATAGGTTGTGTTTCCCCTAAACCAAAGGAATAATTGCATTATCCAATACACCAAATTAGATTGGAACTTACCCAAGGATATAGAAATAATGGAAACATATAGCAAATAATTGACACCAGTAAAAAACAACAATACTAATGGAACCTATAATAAACAAATTTGGATTTAAGAGTGAGCTATAAAGTATGGACACTTCAAAATAGGTGTCGTAGCAATGTCAGACACATATAAGTCACAGACACAACTGGGACATGCATCTGATGACACGCCACATGGAGTGTCTATTTATTAATACTTGTTTTTTCACTGGACATGCCTGGGACACACTTAAGAAACATTTAGGCCACATTCAACTTAGCTGGGGAAAAAAAACCCTTACAGTGAAACAAGTGTTTTGCGAGTGTATTGTTGGGCATATATTCAGCCACGAGCAGCATCTCATCATCTTCACAGCAATAACCAAGCAAGTTTGCCAACCAATGGTTACAGAGATGGCCAACCAACCTCGCTTCTTCCTGTAGTTGCCAAAGAAAAATAATTATAGTCAAGAATGAACAAAAGGCACATCCCAAACACTACATATGTGAAAGATGAAAATAAGTGACATGGTAATTGAAAACCTATTCAAGACATATGAAGGAACATTGATTCCGACATGGATATGCAAGTCCTCTTGGATCAATGCAAATTAAATGAAAACTAAAAAGAGCCGAACAAATTTTCATAGTGCACTAAAGTGTTCTTCACAAATTAGGAGATATGGAATATAAATTTTATAATAAAAAGGAAAACCTGTTTTTAGTTCTACACAAAATGTAATAAAAGGGTCAAGAAAAATATATTATGTGGTGCAGGATTTTTAAGGTAAAAAAGGTTTAAGAAACAACACAATTTCATAATTGTCCTGCAGAGAGAGAGAAAAGAAACAACCAGACTCTCACAACACAAGTAGAAGAGGATAGATATGTAAGCCTAAATGAAAAACTCGGGGTGGTCTTATAAAGAAAGAAAAAAGAATGAATACAGTTGAACCTTCTTGTTTGCACCTAAAAACAATTTGATACCGATGGTTAGGACTGCAAATGAACCGAGCTCCTCACAAGCTTGGCTCAGCTTGGTTTGTTACGTATATAAATGAGTACGAGCAAGATTTTTAGGCTTGTTTAATAAATGAGCTTAGCTCAAGCTAGAATAAGCTTGGCTGTTTATTATTTACTTATATGATAAGATAAATATTGTTTATATATTAAATAATGTAAAATGTGTTATACATGCATAATTGTAATATAGAATAATATTTAACGGGCTGACCAAGCTTGATTATCAAGCCTGATTTTTTCTTCATCATCAAGCTTCGAGTTGAGCTCGAGCATGATTAGTATTAACGAGTTGAGCCAAGCTAGATAAATGAAAAAGGCAAGCTCAAGTATTGCAAAGCTCAGCTTTGCTTGACTTCATTTGCAGTCCTACCTAATCACGCCCATATACAATTGCATTGCATGGCAAAGCATGATCATAACAAAAAACTATGCAAGAGAAATGTATGAATTCATGTGCTCATGAGAGATTCTTCAGAATGACTTTACCAAGAATTGCTTCACATTTGGACAAGCTATTTTTTTAAAGTGCTTGACAGCGATCCTCTGCTGATTCTCTAGCTTCCCTTTATAAACAACATTTGGAGCCTTCTCACCATTCTCCGACACAATATCCTCTACCGCAAAACCAGAAGTGGCATTCTTTAGCTGCTCTAGTGTGAATTCACGGTATGCAGGTAAGTCGCTGACCTCCTCCTCTTCATTCTCTGACAGCAGACATATCAACCAACCAACACATACATCCAATTAACATAAAAAAGAAAAAAATTTAAAAATAATAAAAATAAAAAAGATAGGCAAGGTAACACACCAACATTAGGTGCCTCAACAATAGATGCGCTATGTCGTGAAACCCAACAACATGACAAGAGTTTGGAGGACTGGGAACCCATGTGAATATCAGTGATCAGAGTCTAAATAGCGGACACCTCCAAATGTGTGCCTCTCAAACCAAACCCGACATCAATTACAAATCCAACTCATTCAATTCAAACTCATCCAATTAATCATACTTTACACGGTGTCAATCAGTGACAACTTTTCCAAGCTTTTCAACGATAAAACCATAAGCAGAACGTCAATTCTGCCCTCAAACTCACCAACTCCGAAGCAGGAATAGATTTTAATAGTCCTCTCTAAAGAGGTGTAAGGTGTATGCTTCAACAACTGCAAATTTATTTGAGTACAGAAATTAGAAAGGCATATATAAAGACACCTCTGTCTATCAAAATATATCTTTCTGGGCACTCAAAATTTCTTTTAGATATTAAAACAAACATTTAGAACTCAACTTTGTACAGGCTATTATCAGATTCAAATTCAATTTAAGTAATACATTAAAAAAAATACCCATTAGACAAGAAACTGCAATTTGTAATTATATCATATCATAACTCAAACACACACAATTCAAAAAACTTGCCTCACCGTTACTCACCTCCTCAATCATCCAAACAAGTCATATAAGTTCTTTTTCTCTCCATTTTTCTTTCTTTTCTCACCAAACCCCTCAATCCAAACAGCCTGTAAATGAAAAACATACCTTTTTAGAGACTCCCTTCTTTCCAAGTCAACTATGAAGCTCAAAACCACAAAAACAGCTCAACCCACATTCACAAAACACCTTTTATTGGCATTAAAATAGATTTCTTTCGAATGTAAAGACTAATACAAGTCTGTATCGATCTTTGTTTTAAAGCCCCCCTCTCTCTCTCTCTCAACTGTCGCTCGGTGTTCAAACAACAAGGTAGAGAGAGAAACCCAAAATCGTCATCATCATACTAATTCTTCTAGAGCGAGAAAGTTTGGAGATACAGAGAGAGAAAGATTCATTGAATATCGCCATTGAAGAGGGGATTCGATTTTCAAGAGCAATCTCAGATTCCTCATTGTTCTTGTCAATATTCTCGATCCTGGTGGTTAGGTCGCATTGCTGGATCTTTTCTCGATCCCACTTGTGCAAAAATTTGTGAAAACGATTCGATTTTTATTGGAATTGAGAGATTTGTGATGAATGATGGTGACCTTAACTGTTGGGTTGTGATGTAATATGGCACTGGTCCTCACACGCAGAGAAAATGTCGCTTTACATTGGTCGCGAGGCTTCAAAGGTTCGTCTTTTAATCCTCTTTTGTTTAAAGCAAGGTTTTTTTTTTTTTTTTTTGGGATTTGTTTTCTTTTTTTTTTTTTTTTTTTGGGTTTTTTTTGTGTTTTTTTTTTTTTTTTTTTTTTTTTTTTTTCTTTCAGTTTAGGGTTAAAAAGTTTTGTTTGCCATAGATTTTTTTAATTTTTATACGAGAAAAAATAAAATGGTAATAATTTGGATGTGACATTTTACCTTGTTGAGTTAAAAAAATTATTTTATCTTTTGTGATTATTTTAGTAAAAAAAAAAAAACTCCATTTTAACTTATGCCAAATGGAGACTTTAAAGTTGAGTAATTCTACTTACACCGCTATTTTACCTCTTTACACTCTTCATATGAGTTTTTTTTTTTTTCATGTGTGAAATTACATTTAAAAACAAAACACTAAAATTAAATAAATTTTGTTATCTCCTTATACTCCTTGATCTTCAATCTCTACTCCTTTTTTCCTTTCTTAATTTTTCTTTTCTCTTGCACACTTCTTTAAAAAAATTGAGAATCATAGTATGTTGATCATTAAAGAAATTAATGGATGAAGAAACAGTGGTGAAGAACCATAAAAAAGTGAAATTCTGAGTTTTTTTATTTATTTATTTGGTAGATTTTTGTTTCGTTTTCTCTGGCCTGGTGTTCGATTTTCGTTCGGTAGTTCGAAATCGAACAAAATAAAATAGTCCGACATCACATTGCCGAACAAAAAATATAAATCTGGTAACCAACTACGGAATAAGAGATACATTTCCGGTAACCTCAAACCGAATTTTTTTAATTTGTTCAACTTCTCATTACCATGTATTTTCAATTTCATTTATTTATTTATTTTTATTTTTTTACGTTGAAGGATTATACTTATACTCATTGCAACAACGCAAGTCCTATAATATTAGTGGACTATAGTCATGAATTCATTACAGACGATCAAGGAGGTCATTGTAATTTACTCTTAAATAAATTATCATCTCAAATATCCTCGGGGAGATTGCATTCTGGTGGGAAGAACTCAAAGTAATTGAAAAAACATGGAGCTGCAAATGGGTGTATGCTCTAGTACAAGCAAAAACTATGACTATTCTTGCATCAAACAAAAAGAGCAGAAGGCATTCAATTGTTTATGAAATCAAGGAGCAAGAGGTTACATTTTTACACTTTCCCGAAGAGAGCTCAAAGCAATAGGATGAAAGATGGGATAAGATGTTAGCCTTAGCGTAGAAGATCAATCATTGAGCTCGCTCAAGGACCTGCCAATTTAGGTAACTATCTAATGTGTTCCCCGAGGGGAAGAATCGATGAGGATTTCAGGAAATTGCGAAAGAAAAAGGGGAGTTGGCTGATAAAGATAGTCTTTCATCATGGATTTTAATTTGCTAGAAATGGGTGTACACTCTAGTACAAGTGAAAACTGTGACTATTTTGCATCATAGTGACTCACTTGCACATCCATGTTTTACCAATTGATTTGCGTCCTTCACACTCAAATGCAGTTCCCCCAATATCCTTTCCATGATCTGTTCTTCTGTTTCAAAATCGGACACTTGAACTAAAAATTCAATCCCAAAAGCTCATAACCATATTTGAACACTTAATAGAATAATTAATTTTTTGGAAGAAAAAAAAAGGCAACCCATACACCAAGGAGAGTTTTTAATGAATGTATAAACTGCAAAAAAAAAATATATATATATATATATAATAAAAATATTTCTAATTTTAATATTTTATTTCTGCTCTATTTGATTCATGAATATGGGTAGGAATTTAGAAAGGAAAAGAGAAAAGGTAATGAAATATGAATAAAATATAATTATATTTCACAGGCTTATTCCCTTTCTATTTTCAAATCTCTTACGTTTCACAGAGGTATTCCCTTTCCCTTTCCAAATACCTACCCAAATCCTTTAACCAAGCACAGCCTTCAAAGATCCAAAGAGAAGACTAATGCAAATGTCAAAATAATAAAAGTGACTAGAATTTTTGACAACTATTATATAATTAAAAACAAAGTTGTAAACAAACAATGCAGTAGTGCAATCTTAGTGAATGATTACGATTAACAACCACCTTGAGGAGATGCACACTTGCCAGCTGAATCGCCACATTTCTGAATCCTGAAAAAATCAATGATCTTTGTCTGAGGAAAGCCTGAAAAACAAAAAGCACACACACATACATACATACATACATTATCCCCCAATACCAATCGAAATCCATAGATACATACATTGACACATAAATGTATAGATACATAGAATGGGAATGTCGATTGATTCATACGTTTGACTGAGGGTTGATCTGAGCAGCTAGGGCAGTACCAAGAGCCGATGGGAATGCGAACAACGATTGGGCGGAGGCAAAGCATGTGGAAGCCCTTGTCACAGCGGTCGCAGAGAAGTATCTCGTCGGGGCGTTCGCCGAAGCCGCATTGCTCGCACACGACGTCGCTGTAGTCTTCCTCGTCGTTGGAGGGGTTGTCGTTGGACTCGATCAGCACAGCCGCCGCCGCGTACTTCATAACCTCTTCCATGGACCTGTACTTCCTCGGCGGCGGAGACTGCGGGGGAGATGGTCGCCGGACCACCTCCTTGCGGCGGAGAGCAAACACACGTCCCGCCGGCGAGCTGGACGGCGCCATTTTGAGTTATGGGGAGGAAATTAAAAAGGTGGGAGTGTTGATTCGGATTTAATTAATGGGAAAGAAAAATAATGATAAAATAAATTATGGTAGTGTATTCAATTGTATTTGTTTGTATATGTGATGAGTTTGCAGAAGATGAATGTATGAAAATGGAGAGAGAGAGAGAGAGAGAGAGAGAGAGAGAGAGGGAGTTAGTTAGTTTTACCAAAACAATACAGCAACAACATCAATCCAAAAAACATGTTGTCTGTGCCTTGCTCCAAGCATGTTCTTGAGCGTTTTTGCCTACGTTAGTCAGAAAATGATTGTTACTTGACAACATCAAAACTTGTTCATACACTCCCCTAGGATTGATTCATGAAAGCTCTTACCACTGCATTAGATATTGCACAGGATGTACAAATCTTGAGGGTGTTCTGTACCATTTGTATGTCATTTTCAAATATTGTGGCTTCCACTTTTGATTGCTATACTTTATAAAATTAATTAGTAACATTTTAAAGTGCTACAAGGAATAAATTAAACACATGATTTGCTTCATAATAATGAAGCAATTGGAGAGAGATTATTAGCTGAACACTAAAAAGATAATAAAGGAAAATGATGGAATAAAACATTTCAATGTTATAAATAGAATAAATATTATCAATTACCATTAATTTTTTCGGCCAAGGCAAAAAATTTGATAGAGAGGCCAGCCGACCAAAACATAAAATGGATCACTCTAACCTGTAGAATGGATCACTCTGTCATTACAATCTTTTCAGCAGCCATGACAGACAACCTATTCCAATTGTGTATTTTCTGGTCCATGGACGGTTTTAAACAACAAAGTGTGACAAAGATTAGCTGTAAGGCCCATTACTTATAAAAATTAGAGAGCTACATTTTGACTATTGCTTCTAATGAGATGAGAATATCAACAAAAAAACCTTCTCTTGTAATGCTTGTACAAAGGCCTCAGAGGCATCACCACTAGCAATAGCCACAAAGTTTTACGATGATTTTCTCAAACCAACTAATCAACCAATAAACACGAAAAACATCATAAAAGAACAAAAAATTAGAACAAATCGAGCAGTTTATGGCTCAAAGAATCGAAAAAGAGAAGAAAAAAAAAGAAGCAAAAACAGAACTGATGACAGATCTACATTGCGATGCTGAATACATATACATATGCATATAAGCATTCATGTAATTATGCATTGATAGGACGCTATGTACACAATGAAGCTCAAAGATAGTCTTTGTGTATGTGTGCGCGCGCGTAATGTAGGTGAATTTTGAGGTAGGTGAAACGCATGAGAGGTGAGCTTACTCTGCTGCATTTGAGTGCTCCGAGAGAACTTTTCCATGGCAGAGTTAGGGTTTCTCTGCGACGAATCGCACAAATTGCAGAGAGAGAGTAGATAATGTGTACGCAGATACAAAGAGAGCGAGATAGTGTGTGAGAGAGAGATTAAGAGATTGAGAGATCAAGAGAGGGAGAGAGATTGAGAGATCGAGATAGAGAGATCAATCGATTGAGATCAAGAGGGATAGAGAGATTCATATCGGTGAGCGAAAGCGAGAGAGAGAGGTTGAGCGAGCCAAGCTAGGGCAAAACTAAGGAAATGGAGCAAATAAATAAAAGAAAATAGGAGAAATAAATGTTAAATATAAATTTGAGCTTTATTTATTTATTTATTTTTGCAATGGCTTTTTTTTTTTTTTTGCAACGGCCAAACAAGCAGTCGCAAAAAACCAATTTTCTAGTAGTGATAATCTAACAAAAGCAAAGTTACTATTGAAGCAACAACATATATAACATTTTTTCATTTGATATTTTGTGAGAAAAATCTAAAAAATAGCAAAGTAACTACTGAAGCAACATTGCTAAACTCTAATATTTTGTCGTTATTCATTACTAAAATATAGCAATAACCATATTACGTGGATAATTTGGGAAAACATAAATCAAAAGAAATTAGCAACAACCAAGACTCCAAGATATTATCCTTGAAAGATAAGAAGAATATAAGAGACATTACTTTTCATAATAGCTAGAAAAGAAAGCTGGAAGGTAAAGAGGGGCCAACATTGATATATCTCCAACTTTGGGTTGGTTACTTAGGTTGGTTTGAAGGTATAAATCACTTACAATGCAATTGTAGCTATATGCAAAATGCAATTCTATCCATCATCCCATCCATTAGAAAACAAAAAAGATTTTTAAAGTTCTAGAAAAACAAACCAAGCACACTTGCTAGTGTTATTGCATTGACCCCACACAAAATAAATAAATAAATAAATAAAAATCCACAGAGAATGAAAACAGAGAAAACACATGGGTAAATTTCTTTAAAGTATAAAAAACAAACCCAAAATAACCCAAAACAAAACACACAAATCTATAGAGCAATGAAAAATAACCCAAAAAAAAAAACATTTCAATTCAGATAAATCATTCACAAACAAACCCAAAACAGAACACACAAATCTATAGAGCAATGAAAAATAACCCAAAAAAACATTTCAATTCAAATAAATCATTCACAAACAAACCCAAAATAACCCAAAATAGAGCAATGAAAAGAAGAAGAAAAAAAACTAAACCAAAACTAACTTGGGGTACTTTCTCAATAGAGGAAGAGAACCACCAAGAAGAAAAAAAACTAAACCAAAACTAACTTGGGGTACTTTCTCAATAGAGGAAGAGAACCACCACGAAACAACTCCATTGAGGCTCTTACAATCTTCAAAATCTTAGACTTGCAAAATAAAATAAAAAAGACAATCAAAATGAGTTACCCAAACATAATCAAACATGGTTATGGGCTAAGCTAGAGTTAGGAATTGATAGAAATGAGGATTCATTGTGATGGTAGGTATTGGAAGACGCCAAAGAATGAGTGAATGAATGAGGGGGAGTCATGAGCTGAGAAACACACACACACACACACACACACACACACAGAGCAAAGAATGAGAACTGATGAGAGTGTCAACTTCAGACAGGATTTGAGTTTTGAATTTTGAACTCATCTCAACTTGAGCCCTACAATTGAAGCAAATAATGAATTTGAGCTGTGAAAGATGAATCTCTCACATACAGTTTAAATTTGTAATGTAACGGTGGAAAGCTGAAGGAAAGAAAGGCAAAGTTATCTCAACCATTGAATCAAACATCCATATAGGATAACCATCCCACCAGCCCCCTTGTTTTGTTATATATAAATATATATAATATAAATCAAGAATAAATTATAAATGCTTTGGAACAAATTCATTGCAAGAGATAGTCAACAACTTTTATCAATTCTACTACCATTTCGTATATAAGTTTCAGATATTAATCACTTTGTTTCAACATTTAAATAAAACTTAAATCACTGTTTTAAGGAACTTAAATCACTATAAACCTTCTCCAAACTATGAACTTTTAAATCAATGCTTTGGAAACCCACTTGTAATGATATTTGGAGGATTCAATCCGAAGCATCATACCAAAACAAAAAAATAATAATAATAATAATAAACAAAACTGAAAACCTGAAACCAGATTTGAACTACTACCTCTTTACCCTTAACCATTAATCAAGAGGTTTTAAGATGATTAATGTTTGTTTTGGTGGACTAATTGCATAGATTTTTTCTGTCATGAGGTGCCTTGTTAGTCCTTTTCCTCTTGTTCAAATAATGTACAAAACCAATCATACATAAGAAATTACACACATTATTGCAGTGCAAGTCAATAAATTGATTAAATAGACTACAACGCAATACCCAAATTCTTAGTTCACATCACACTAGGTTTTTTCTTCTAATAATTCATGTGTACATCCAACATAAATATATTGGGTGTTTAATTGAATTCGCAATTGATCAAAAAAACATAAATGTGAGCTACCAACACAAAATAGTCCTCGAATTACCAAATCTTAAAAGTAACATATACCCAGAATGAAATATGGTGGCTAAGAGAGAGAGAGAGAGATTAGGGCACGATGGTAGGAAGCAAGAGAGGATGTAGAGGGACAACAAAAGCAATGGAAAGCGGGCTTACCAGTGGGATTGGCTAGCGGTAGTGATGGGCCGTGCGAATGTGGGGACTATGGGAGTTTTGTTGTATTCAGAGAGATGGTGCCAAAGGTGGCATCGTGCGTAGTGATTACAGGGTGGTGAAACTGTGTGAGGTAGAGATTGCTAAGAGAGGGAGTCGATTTGTGAGAAATTAGGGTAGAGAATAAGATCTAGAGAGAGAGAGAGAGATAAATCAACTTACCTGGTGAGAATGAAATAGTCCAAGTTTGTGAATCGGCGGTGTCGACTTTGGATTTCAGGCGGTACAACGGTGGAATGGGAGCAACTGTTGGAAAAAATGGATTTTTGGTGACTTTAATTAAATATTAAAGTGGATCCCAACCATCTATTGTGTTGGGTCCAAGTGGGTCTAGATACTTTGCAATGAGATCTTTACACCACAAATAGAATGGCCAAAAACCATTGAGATTTGAATGAGAAATTGCCTCATGAAATTAGCTTCATGAAAGAGTTAATGGGGTTTGTAACTTCTGCCTTTATTACAGAATTTAATAGAGCATTAATGGGGCTTGTAACTCCTGCATTAATGGGGTTTGTAACTCCTGCCTTTATTGCAGAGGTTAATGGTGCATTAGTGACCAGCCATAAAGGCTAGAGGCTTCTCCTCTCTCCCCTATACATGTATAAATTGAGACCCTCCTGTCAAGTCTCAAACACAGAAATTGTTTCTTCTATTCTTTAGTCAGTTTGCTAGAAAGTTCCTACAGTGAGAGAGTGCTGCCATGGTTTTGTTCGCTAAGCTAGACATAAACTGCTTCTGCCCTAGCTGGTTTTTGACCGTCGTATCCTGGGAGACAAACGCCAGGATTCCTCAAGCACTCGACCCGTGAGGTGGCGAAATCTGTTTTAAGGAAACTGCTACCGTGCAGGCTTCGGTTTGGTTTCTTTACCATTTTATTGTTTTGTGTATTTCTGTTGAAATTTAGTTGTAATTATCAGCATGTGTTCTTGGTATTGTTTTTTTTTTAATTTATTCGTGAATCTATTTATTTAATTTCACAATTTGAACAACAAGCTTAAAACAAATTTTTGATGTTTTCATAAATTATATAACTAGATTCATAAGATTGCATGCTACTGTTTTACTTCTCATTGTCTATGGTTGC